GACAAATTTGTCCTTTTTATTTTTTATTTACACTCCTTCCTTAATAAAGTTGTTATTATCAAATATAGTAACATCCTATTAAAAATTATTGTTACTAAATAATTAAAGAATAATTTAATTGTGAAAAATACTTATTATAATGTGTCACTAAACACCTAACACGCTTTTTAATGACTGCATTTTTTTGACAGCTTTATTGATAAAAGTGTTTTTTGTATTGGAACAACAATCCCAAACGGGGTTTTAGTTGATAGGGTAAATCATAAAACTCATTCCTAATGCTTAGTTTGGTAGGAAAAAAAATTTTGGTTGGAAGGAAAAGAAGAAATGATAGATGAGACATCTCTAGAGAATAAATTGTATCTCTCCTATTTTTGGGTTGGATGGAAGAAAAAAAGAATAAGCTCACACAATTTACTGGTTCGTTTAGAGATAAGTCTAGAAAGAGTTTAAATTTTTTTTACCATTATATCTATCACTATTTATAATATTATAATTTATAGAGAATAATATTGTAATTTAAAACTTACATAATTTAGAATAGTAATTTAAAACCTGTATATTTAAGATAGTATTGTAATTTAAAAAGGTAAAATACAAGAAACCCTCTTAACTATTGGTAAACCCGCAAGAAACCTTGAACTACAAAAGTTGCAACTAACTCCTGAACTATACATTTTTGTTACAGTTTACCGCATAAAACATTTAGAATCTAGAATATTAAGAGTTATGTGTAGATAATGTAAAATTGGACTATAAATATTCAAGGGGATTGTACATCAAACTTGACTAGCAATAGTCCACACAATATTACAATATTCGTTTTTAGTCTTATGATTTAACAACCCATTCAAAACATATATATAAATAATTAGAGCATAGGTGCTATTATATACAAAAATGATGGTGATAAAGTCTGAACTAAACATTTTTATTTACTTAAATTTTTTTTACCCAAATAAATTTGTAATTATAAAAATAAAGGAGAGATTCTATTGTCAAAACAATGTTAGATACCAACCTCTACCCAAAATGCAATTAAAAAAGCTCTGATTTTCAACTTCAGTAGAACGCGCTTTTTTTATTCAACATCTACTCTTTAAAAGTAATATTTAAATTAAACGTGCTTTTGGATGCTTAAAAAACGTAATCCCAAACATGCACATATTGGGCTTGAAATTGAAAATTTTCCATGCATAAAAACTTGGTTTTTATGTAATTTAAGGTTAAAATTAGAATTTCAAATTTCATTTAATTTTGACAAATTTTATTTTATTTTATTTTCCTAATTGGTACTCACACACATGTCTCTTTTGAGACTTGAACCCCTCTAGCCCGTATTTCATCTCATTTTATTCAGTGTATTGTCACACTCCCATTGGTTGCTTAGATTTTACTACCCATCTCATCGCTTAAGAGAGTAAAGTTCAAAACTATGTCCTTTTATAGGAAGGGTCAAATGGACTTTGGCCTTTTCTAGTGATCTGATGGGTAAAACACTTAAACGCAACAGAATCATAGTTTAGGGGGTTTCTTGCAAAACCCCAATAGTTTAGAGGTTTTTTATTATTATTGTTATTATTTATTATTATTATTATTTTTTTTTTTGCATTTTACCCAATTTAAAACTTCCATCCCTCTTATGCCCATATTTGGAAAGATGAATCAGCTCTCCTATTATCATTTCTCTCATTGTCTCCCTTCTACTAAATCAAGGAAATTTGCTCGTTCCTTTCTATTTTCTCTACATCCCACTTCCTTCTTACATAAGGGACCTATCATTTTTTTATTTAATAATATAAATTTATTTTTTCATCACTTGGATTGAAGTGAAGAAGAATGTACAGAAGCTCTCAAAGAACTAAGCCTTGACAATAATTATATTTTAAAAATTGGATAATATTGTCAAGGCTTTGGCTCATTAAGGGCCTGTTTACTAACAGGAATCATTCCTGTTTTTTACTTTCAATTCCTAAAAATATAAAGTAAAAGTACAAATTATGATTATTAAGATGATTTTACTTTTCAGTTTTTAGAAAGTACTTTCACATTTAATGAAGGAAAGAGAAAGTGAAGATTTGTTACTTTCTCTATTTTCTCCACTGTACACAGAAAATACTTTCTGTTACTGTAGCATTCACTGACCCATCAGCCGAGCATCACCCATCATCCTCTCCCTTCCCTCTCCCTCTCCCTCTCCATCATCATCATCTCATCCCACCAACCGGCAACAATGGAAGACACTAACCACCGACGACGATGGAAGACACCACCCGGCCACCACACTCTCTCTCTATCAGTATCGTTTTCTGTCTACCTGGACGAAGACGACGATGTCAAAGAAGACGATGATGTAGCTTCAGTTTCTCTATATTCGATATTGGATCATGCCCTAATCACTTTTTCTCTGTATTCAAAATTGGATTGAAGCACCAATCTCTCCTCTGTCATACGCACCATCAACAATATACCCAAATCCATCAACCAGTCACAGAAAAAAAATTAAAAAAAAAAAAATCCGTAAAGGGCAGACCCTCGCCGTCGACAACCACCGCCATGGCCGACAACCACCTCCGCCATCGCCACATCCGAAATCTTCTTTGGTTTATGTTAGACAGCCTCCCTCCTATGTCTCTCTCTACAAACACTCGCGAAACCCACCATCAATTGCAAGGCAATTCTTCAGTTCAGAATTTCTTCCCATGCCTGGTGGTGGTCCATTCTGGCGTCAATTGCAAGGCAATTCTTCAGTCCAGAATGAAGACTTATGAAAGAGAATTTTCGAAAGGGTTGAAACAGTCTCTATTGACCAGAGAGACTTGGGCCAAGCAATTGACAAAGATTGGAGTATAGATAGACCCAAAGAGAGGGAGAGAGACCTATGTCTATAAAGGCGAGACGCAGGTTTAGAAACCAGATACTCTTAATTTGTGGAACCCTAGGATTGGAAAGCAATTCTTCATGAACTTTCAAGTTTCTAGAACAGAGAGGTATGGCATGATATTTGACCGATCAAGATACCCCGATCAAGAAACCCTAGGATTGCAGCAATGATGATATATATATATATATATATATAACATTAATGGTCAAATAGAAAGCAAAATCAAAATTATATAATTATTAAACTTACTTTTTAATTTCTTACTTTAAAAATATTGAAAGCATAACAAATTAATAAACATAATTTTATTTTATATTTCAACTTTAGGAATGAAAAGTATGATTTTACTTTTGAAGAAAGTGAAAGTAGAAAAGTGAAAGCTAGTAAACGGGCCTAAGAAGTCCTTATTTTACTCTCTGATAGGATAAGGACAACAGTATTTAAACTTCTTTAGAAAGCTCAAATACAGAAAGAACGTATAGTTTTACTTCTAACATCCCTTACCAGCTAAAGTCAACAGTCATATTCAATAAAACTTATTCCTTGGCAGAGCTTCCTTTTATCTCACTCACTACATTAAACATTAATAAGTGAATATTTAGGACCCAGCGTGTCATATAAATCTAATCAATAAATCAAAGTATTAGTGGATTTAATTCCCTGGAAAAGCGCCCAGTTCCATCTTGTCTTCCGTGACTTTCCGTGTGAAGATGCAAGAAACTCCTTCTATTCTTTCTCTCTCTAGAATTCTTACACCTCAACCCGAATCAAGATCCCCTTCCTCTTCATTCCAACTCCTATTTATAGATATTTACAAGATATTTGCAAGATATTTACTAATTGCTGGACCTGGGCCTATTCCTCAGTAAGCCCTGGTCACTCTTGATGGGCTTCCTCCCGCTCGGCCCATATGGCAGTGTCTTTTTATGGGCTGACCCAGCTGTTCGGACTGAAGGTTGTGTTTTGCGAGTCGGACCTGGCCCATGTCATCCAGGGCCTCCTCAACTGCCCCCATAATTGCCCCTTATTTAATAAGGGGTAATTATTGATGGCGTCTCATCATGACGCTGACGGCTCGAGATAACCACGTGGGGGAGCGAACGGTCAGATCCAGAATCAATGTTCCGGGGTTCGAGGGATTTCTTGCCTTCCCGACGCTTCGGCCCTCGGGCCCCCTTGCCTATATAATGCTCTCGAATTCCACTTCACTTCCCTTTACCGTCTCCATCATCAGCCAAATCTCCCTCTTTCTAGAACTGCGCTAAGCCTTTTCCGGTGAAATCCTTCGAGAGTCATTCTCCCAGCGATCTTGCAGTCCTCCGAGGTTAGTTTCATTCTTTTTACTTTCGGCAGGCTTCCATTTTCCCTCTTTTAGATTCTTCTTGCACTTCCACCATGGTTGTAGATCTGGGTGTCCTTCGTATGAGACTTAGGCTTCCTGACAACATCGTAGTTAGGGTTTGCCCCCAAGACGTTAATATTACGACCGGCGCCGGCCTCCTGCCCGGCGAAGTCTTATTCACAAACCTTCAACTGAATGTTGTTAGGTTCCCTCTGCACCCTTTCTTTAGTTACGTCTTCAACAGATTGGGGATATCCCCTCTGCAGGTCAACCCCAACTTCTTTAGGATCATATCTGTTATGCTCTTATTGATGCGTGACAGAAATCTGGACCTTGACCTCATAGACCTCCTTCTGTGCTATAAGGTCAGTAAGATCCGTACTAACGAGCCCTTCTACCACCTCTACCCGTTCGAGAAGATGTCCATATGCACTGACACAATAAAATCTGAAAAGGGTTGGAGGGATAGCATAGTGGGTATTAGTGGGGCTTGGTCTTCGCCGGCTGCAGAGGATTACCCTATCCCGAGCGCCTTTGGTGTCTGCTCTGTCTCCTCCTATAAAAAATTCAAATCCCATAAACACGACTGCCCCTGTGAAACATGCGTTCCTCGTTTTTGCACTTACTTATGCCGCTCCTTGGGAATACCTTGTGATGACTTGAGCTACAGTGTTTGCAGGGATAGGATTAACTACTTGAAGCGATACGTTCTGAACGATATTCCTTCCTGCTCAGATCTCCTCACTTCAGACAACCTCTTTGCGCTGTCATCACTCGGCTACAATATGAGCAGACTGCAGATTCCCTCTTTTGGCAGGAGGAAAAATACTCCCCCAGTCATTCCTGCTGCTGGGGCGACCTCCTCTCCAGCGTCGGCTTCTTCTTCAGCCACCATATCTGACACTGTCCCGAGCGCAGTGGCTACTAACCCTGCTGCCAGCGCCCCTGCGGCCAACCAGAACGCGCCCTCCCCAGCTACCATAGCTCCTGCTGCTGCGGGGGGCGGTCGGGACAAAGAGCGAGGCAAAAGGCCTCATCCTGACAGTGAAATCGACCCTGAGGAGGAGCCTCTTATTAGAAGGACCCGAGTCTCTGGGCCGGGTACTCTCTTGCACCGAGCGATCAGAGCTCCTTCTCACTCTGGGCCTCCTGCAGCTGGTGGCTCTGCTTCTGCTTCAGGCCCCCCTTCTATCCCCAGCTTGCCGCCATGGGCCCCTCGGTACACTCGAACGGATGGGACGTTCGTGAAACCGAACGAGACCATGCTGAAGGATGGCCAGACCGCTATGGCCTACTACAGGAGCATGTGGACTCCGAAGGACATTGAGGCGGCAAAGGGCCTTTCCCAGAAGGACGTGTTCAGTCGCTTTCCCCAATCTGCTATGGAGGTGACTTTTATTTTCTAACTCATGAATTCTCTTATATTACTTGGTCTTGCCTTCTCCCGTTCTGACTATTGGTTTAACCGTTCTTATTGTGCACCTATGCAGACATTGTTTGGGATGATGGCCATGCAGAAGCAGGTGGAAATGGGGAACGCCAGGGCCCGAAAGTATTCTGACAGCCTGGAGGTGGCTAATAAAGAGAACGACCTCCTTGCCATGAAGAATACCGAGGTGCTGGTTCGGCTTGACAAAGCCGAGCAAGAGAGAGATGTCCTGAAAAAGGAGAATGATTCCCTTCAGGATGAGAAGGACGCCCTCCAGCTCGAGAAGAGCGTCTGGCAGACTGAGCAGGAATCACTCAGAGAAGAGAAGGCAGAACTCCAACGTCTTCTAGCTGATGAACAGTCTGCTCGGATGGCTTTTGAAAAAAGAGCTCTGGACGAGCGTACCGCTCTGATCGACGTTATCAGCAGAGTGGGTGGTGGGATGCTGGCCCTTCATGCTCGGTTCTCCAGGGTCGGTGCTCTTCGGTATGCTCAAGGATTCCGGGAAGGCTTCGCCGACCGGGTTCCGGATGAGGGACAGACCAGCTCCACTCCGGATGAGGTAGACAAGGATCTGGGGATCGAGCCTCTGGGGGTCTATGTCGACCCAGAACCCACCGAAGCGGAGCGTATATTTGATGAGTGCCAGGACATCGCATCCTCAAGGATCATCACAGCTCCTCCTACCGCTCTGCCACTGACCGCTCCCCAATCGTCAACCGTGGCTCCCTCTGTAGCCACTGCTGACGCTGAACCCCAGCCGAACGACTCAGTTATTCACCTGGATTCCCCACCTCATGAAGGTGAGGCGGCTGATGGGGCCGAGGAGGCGAGTCGGCAGGACCAGGATGCTGTTGGTACTGAGGCGTCTAGCTAGGGCTCCTTCGAATTCTTCCAGTTCATATCTTCTTGTAATGATGGACACCTCTCTTTTGTAAACTAAATGTTCAATATTAATGAAATGGCCGAACTCTTTTTCTCTATGTGTTGTGCTCTGTTCAACTTATCTTCAGTACATATATATCTTTTCTCTCTTTTTCTTTTTATATTAGTTTCGCTGTGTGTTTGTACGGCAAGTGCCTGGCGCTCGGCTAGAATGCCACTTGCCACTTGGCTTTAAGTTTTTAGCAAGTGTCTGGCGTTCGGCTTATAGTGCCAGCTGCCACTTATCTTGCTTAAGTGCCTGGCGCTCGGCTAGAATGCCACTTGCCACTTGGCTTTCAATTTTTAGCAAGTGTCTGGCGTTCGGCTTATAGTGCCAGCTGCCACTTATCTTGCTTAAGTGCCTGGCGCTCGGCTAGAATGCCACTTGCCACTTGGCTTTCAATTTTTAGCAAGTGTCTGGCGTTCGGCTTATAGTGCCAGCTGCCACTTATCTTGCTTAAGTGCCTGGCGCTCGGCTAGAATGCCACTTGCCACTTGGCTTTCAATTTTTAGCAAGTGTCTGGCGTTCGGCTTATAGTGCCAGCTGCCACTTATCTTGCTTAAGTGCCTGGCGCTCGGCTAGAATGCCACTTGCCACTTGGCTTTCAATTTTTAGCAAGTGTCTGGCGTTCGGCTTATAGTGCCAGCTGCCACTTGGCTTTCAATTTTTAGCAAGTGTCTGGCGTTCGGCTTATAGTGCCAGCTGCCACTTATCTTGCTTAAGTGCCTGGCGCTCGGCTAGAATGCCACTTGCCACTTGGCTTTCAATTTTTAGCAAGTGTCTGGCGTTCGGCTTATAGTGCCAGCTGCCACTTATCTTGCTTAAGTGCCTGGCGCTCGGCTAGAATGCCACTTGCCACTTGGCTTTCAATTTTTAGCAAGTGTCTGGCGTTCGGCTTATAGTGCCAGCTGCCACTTATCTTGCTTAAGTGCCTGGCGCTCGGCTAGAATGCCACTTGCCACTTGGCTTTCAATTTTTATAGTAGACCATTGGAAAAGAAAATTCTTCTCTTCTTTTTTTGTAAATTCCGGTAACTTGCTCATTCATATGTATTTGATTAACAACAAATAACATCCAATTAAAAACAGAACTTAGCTTCTATTGATAGTACCTCTTCAGAGACGTGGCGTTCCAGGGCTTGTTGACCAACTTTCCCGCCATGGTTTCCAACGTATATGCCCCTTTGCCAATGACTTCTGCAATTCTGTATGGGCCTTCCCAGGGTGGCATCATTTTTTTGACCATCCCCACCTTTCTTTTCAGAACCAGATCGCCCGGGGCAAAATCCCTGTGTTTTACTCTCTTATTGTGACTATTCGCCAGCACTTGCTGATACGATGCTAGCCTTATAGCCGCTGCGTCCCTCCTTTCGTCTATCATGTCGAGGTTCAATCTTAACATCTTGTCGTTCTGATCTCGACTCCATGCTAAGCTTCTGATAGTGGGGACTAAATGCTCAACCGGTATAACTGCTTCGGTACCATACGCCATCGCGAACGGGCTCTCCCCAGTCGGCCGCCTTGGGGTGGTTCTGTAAGCCCATAGAACGTTCGGGAGTTCATCCAACCACTTCCCCTTATGATCTTCCAGCTTCTTCTTAATGCAGGCGAAAATGGTTCTGTTTGTGATTTCTGCTTGTCCGTTAGCCTGAGGATGACTTACTGCAGCCAACTTCTGGTTGATTCCATACTCCTCCAGCAGCTTTCTTACTTGCCTGCTGTCGAGGTTTGTGCCATTGTCCATGACTATTGTTCTGGGAACACCGAAGCGGCAGATAATGTTGTTCCAGATAAATCGTCTCACCTGAGTCTGAGTCACGCTAGGATACGGTTCTGCCTCCACCCATTTAGTGAAATAATCCGTGGCCAGTAACACATACTTGTTCTGAGCTCTTGCAGTTGGCAGAGGACCGACCACATCCATCCCCCATTGCGCGAAAGGCCACGGCGAGGCCATTACGTGCAATTCTTCAGGTGGTTGGTGGATCATTGGTCCATATCGTTGGCACTTATCGCACCTTCGAGAGAACTCCTCCGCATCTCTTGACATGTTTGGCCAAAAATACCCTTGTGTCATTGCTTTATGCGCTAACGATCTTCCCCCAGAATGATTGCCACACACACCCTCATGAATAGCTCGCAATACCTGCTGCGATTCCGCGGGGGTGACACATTTCAAGTACGGGCCAGAATAGGACCTTCTGTACAGCTGGTTCCGCACGATGGCGTACTTGGCAGCATTCTTTTTGAGTTTCCTAGCTTCATCCCTTTGCATAGGCAAAACGCCATCTCGAATATAGGTAATGATTGGGTCAATCCAACTCGGTTCATACGGTATGACGTTGACTTGCCAAGGGTCCGAGACCATCGGTTCTTCGAAAATGGACGGCTGGGTCACTATTCCCACTGGAATCACCCTCGCCAATGTTTCACCACAACTTGAAGCACTGCATGCTAAACGGTCTGCATCTGCATTCTGTTCCCTCGGCAACTGTATGAATTCAATCTTTGCAAAGTCCTTGGCTCTACGCAGAACGGCAGAACGGTATGCCCCCATCATGTCATCCTTGGTTGCGTACTCACCATTTACCTGCCGAACAATCAGCTGCGAGTCACTATACACTGTCAAACTTTTGATCTGTAGCTCTTTGGCCAACTTTAATCCATTTAGCAACGCCTCGTATTCCGCTTCATTATTGGTGGGAATAGTGACCCAGCCGTCCATTTTCGAAGAACCGATGGTCTCGGACCCTTGGCAAGTCAACGTCATACCGTATGAACCGAGTTGGATTGACCCAATCATTACCTATATTCGAGATGGCGTTTTGCCTATGCAAAGGGATGAAGCTAGGAAACTCAAAAAGAATGCTGCCAAGTACGCCATCGTGCGGAACCAGCTGTACAGAAGGTCCTATTCTGGCCCGTACTTGAAATGTGTCACCCCCGCGGAATCGCAGCAGGTATTGCGAGCTATTCATGAGGGTGTGTGTGGCAATCATTCTGGGGGAAGATCGTTAGCGCATAAAGCAATGACACAAGGGTATTTTTGGCCAAACATGTCAAGAGATGCGGAGGAGTTCTCTCGAAGGTGCGATAAGTGCCAACGATATGGACCAATGATCCACCAACCACCTGAAGAATTGCACGTAATGGCCTCGCCGTGGCCTTTCGCGCAATGGGGGATGGATGTGGTCGGTCCTCTGCCAACTGCAAGAGCTCAGAACAAGTATGTGTTACTGGCCACGGATTATTTCACTAAATGGGTGGAGGCAGAACCGTATCCTAGCGTGACTCAGACTCAGGTGAGACGATTTATCTGGAACAACATTATCTGCCGCTTCGGTGTTCCCAGAACAATAGTCATGGACAATGGCACAAACCTCGACAGCAGGCAAGTAAGAAAGCTGCTGGAGGAGTATGGAATCAACCAGAAGTTGGCTGCAGTAAGTCATCCTCAGGCTAACGGACAAGCAGAAATCACAAACAGAACCATTTTCGCCTGCATTAAGAAGAAGCTGGAAGATCATAAGGGGAAGTGGTTGGATGAACTCCCGAACGTTCTATGGGCTTACAGAACCACCCCAAGGCGGCCGACTGGGGAGAGCCCGTTCGCGATGGCGTATGGTACCGAAGCAGTTATACCGGTTGAGCATTTAGTCCCCACTATCAGAAGCTTAGCATGGAGTCGAGATCAGAACGACAAGATGTTAAGATTGAACCTCGACATGATAGACGAAAGGAGGGACGCAGCGGCTATAAGGCTAGCATCGTATCAGCAAGTGCTGGCGAATAGTCACAATAAGAGAGTAAAACACAGGGATTTTGCCCCGGGCGATCTGGTTCTGAAAAGAAAGGTGGGGATGGTCAAAAAAATGATGCCACCCTGGGAAGGCCCATACAGAATTGCAGAAGTCATTGGCAAAGGGGCATATACGTTGGAAACCATGGCGGGAAAGTTGGTCAACAAGCCCTGGAACGCCACGTCTCTGAAGAGGTACTATCAATAGAAGCTAAGTTCTGTTTTTAATTGGATGTTATTTGTTGTTAATCAAATACATATGAATGAGCAAGTTACCGGAATTTACAAAAAAAGAAGAGAAGAATTTTCTTTTCCAATGGTCTACTATAAAAATTGAAAGCCAAGTGGCAAGTGGCATTCTAGCCGAGCGCCAGGCACTTAAGCAAGATAAGTGGCAGCTGGCACTATAAGCCGAACGCCAGACACTTGCTAAAAATTGAAAGCCAAGTGGCAAGTGGCATTCTAGCCGAGCGCCAGGCACTTAAGCAAGATAAGTGGCAGCTGGCACTATAAGCCGAACGCCAGACACTTGCTAAAAATTGAAAGCCAAGTGGCAAGTGGCATTCTAGCCGAGCGCCAGGCACTTAAGCAAGATAAGTGGCAGCTGGCACTATAAGCCGAACGCCAGACACTTGCTAAAAATTGAAAGCCAAGTGGCAAGTGGCATTCTAGCCGAGCGCCAGGCACTTAAGCAAGATAAGTGGCAGCTGGCACTATAAGCCGAACGCCAGACACTTGCTAAAAATTGAAAGCCAAGTGGCAAGTGGCATTCTAGCCGAGCGCCAGGCACTTAAGCAAGATAAGTGGCAGCTGGCACTATAAGCCGAACGCCAGACACTTGCTAAAAACTTAAAGCCAAGTGGCAAGTGGCATTCTAGCCGAGCGCCAGGCACTTGCCGTACAAACACACAGCGAAACTAATATAAAAAGAAAAAGAGAGAAAAGATATATATGTACTGAAGATAAGTTGAACAGAGCACAACACATAGAGAAAAAGAGTTCGGCCATTTCATTAATATTGAACATTTAGTTTACAAAAGAGAGGTGTCCATCATTACAAGAAGATATGAACTGGAAGAATTCGAAGGAGCCCTAGCTAGACGCCTCAGTACCAACAGCATCCTGGTCCTGCCGACTCGCCTCCTCGGCCCCATCAGCCGCCTCACCTTCATGAGGTGGGGAATCCAGGTGAATAACTGAGTCGTTCGGCTGGGGTTCAGCGTCAGCAGTGGCTACAGAGGGAGCCACGGTTGACGATTGGGGAGCGGTCAGTGGCAGAGCGGTAGGAGGAGCTGTGATGATCCTTGAGGATGCGATGTCCTGGCACTCATCAAATATACGCTCCGCTTCGGTGGGTTCTGGGTCGACATAGACCCCCAGAGGCTCGATCCCCAGATCCTTGTCTACCTCATCCGGAGTGGAGCTGGTCTGTCCCTCATCCGGAACCCGGTCGGCGAAGCCTTCCCGGAATCCTTGAGCATACCGAAGAGCACCGACCCTGGAGAACCGAGCATGAAGGGCCAGCATCCCACCACCCACTCTGCTGATAACGTCGATCAGAGCGGTACGCTCGTCCAGAGCTCTTTTTTCAAAAGCCATCCGAGCAGACTGTTCATCAGCTAGAAGACGTTGGAGTTCTGCCTTCTCTTCTCTGAGTGATTCCTGCTCAGTCTGCCAGACGCTCTTCTCGAGCTGGAGGGCGTCCTTCTCATCCTGAAGGGAATCATTCTCCTTTTTCAGGACATCTCTCTCTTGCTCGGCTTTGTCAAGCCGAACCAGCACCTCGGTATTCTTCATGGCAAGGAGGTCGTTCTCTTTATTAGCCACCTCCAGGCTGTCAGAATACTTTCGGGCCCTGGCGTTCCCCATTTCCACCTGCTTCTGCATGGCCATCATCCCAAACAATGTCTGCATAGGTGCACAATAAGAACGGTTAAACCAATAGTCAGAACGGGAGAAGGCAAGACCAAGTAATATAAGAGAATTCATGAGTTAGAAAATAAAAGTCACCTCCATAGCAGATTGGGGAAAGCGACTGAACACGTCCTTCTGGGAAAGGCCCTTTGCCGCCTCAATGTCCTTCGGAGTCCACATGCTCCTGTAGTAGGCCATAGCGGTCTGGCCATCCTTCAGCATGGTCTCGTTCGGTTTCACGAACGTCCCATCCGTTCGAGTGTACCGAGGGGCCCATGGCGGCAAGCTGGGGATAGAAGGGGGGCCTGAAGCAGAAGCAGAGCCACCAGCTGCAGGAGGCCCAGAGTGAGAAGGAGCTCTGATCGCTCGGTGCAAGAGAGTACCCGGCCCAGAGACTCGGGTCCTTCTAATAAGAGGCTCCTCCTCAGGGTCGATTTCACTGTCAGGATGAGGCCTTTTGCCTCGCTCTTTGTCCCGACCGCCCCCCGCAGCAGCAGGAGCTATGGTAGCTGGGGAGGGCGCGTTCTGGTTGGCCGCAGGGGCGCTGGCAGCAGGGTTAGTAGCCACTGCGCTCGGGACAGTGTCAGATATGGTGGCTGAAGAAGAAGCCGACGCTGGAGAGGAGGTCGCCCCAGCAGCAGGAATGACTGGGGGAGTATTTTTCCTCCTGCCAAAAGAGGGAATCTGCAGTCTGCTCATATTGTAGCCGAGTGATGAGAGCGCAAAGAGGTTGTCTGAAGTGAGGAGATCTGAGCAGGAAGGAATATCGTTCAGAACGTATCGCTTCAAGTAGTTAATCCTATCCCTGCAAACACTGTAGCTCAAGTCATCATAAGGTATTCCCAAGGAGCGGCATAAGTAAGTGCAAAAACGAGGAACGCATGTTTCACAGGGGCAGTCGTGTTTATGGGATTTGAATTTTTTATAGGAGGAGACAGAGCAGACACCAAAGGCGCTCGGGATAGGGTAATCCTCTGCAGCCGGCGAAGACCAAGCCCCACTAATACCCACTATGCTATCCCTCCAACCCTTTTCAGATTTTATTGTGTCAGTGCATATGGACATCTTCTCGAACGGGTAGAGGTGGTAGAAGGGCTCGTTAGTACGGATCTTACTGACCTTATAGCACAGAAGGAGGTCTATGAGGTCAAGGTCCAGATTTCTGTCACGCATCAATAAGAGCATAACAGATATGATCCTAAAGAAGTTGGGGTTGACCTGCAGAGGGGATATCCCCAATCTGTTGAAGACGTAACTAAAGAAAGGGTGCAGAGGGAACCTAACAACATTCAGTTGAAGGTTTGTGAATAAGACTTCGCCGGGCAGGAGGCCGGCGCCGGTCGTAATATTAACGTCTTGGGGGCAAACCCTAACTACGATGTTGTCAGGAAGCCTAAGTCTCATACGAAGGACACCCAGATCTACAACCATGGTGGAAGTGCAAGAAGAATCTAAAAGAGGGAAAATGGAAGCCTGCCGAAAGTAAAAAGAATGAAACTAACCTCGGAGGACTGCAAGATCGCTGGGAGAATGACTCTCGAAGGATTTCACCGGAAAAGGCTTAGCGCAGTTCTAGAAAGAGGGAGATTTGGCTGATGATGGAGACGGTAAAGGGAAGTGAAGTGGAATTCGAGAGCATTATATAGGCAAGGGGGCCCGAGGGCCGAAGCGTCGGGAAGGCAAGAAATCCCTCGAACCCCGGAACATTGATTCTGGATCTGACCGTTCGCTCCCCCACGTGGTTATCTCGAACCGTCAGCGTCATGATGAGACGCCATCAATAATTACCCCTTATTAAATAAGGGGCAATTATGGGGGCAGTTGAGGAGGCCCTGGATGACATGGGCCAGGTCCGACTCGCAAAACACAACCTTCAGTCCGAACAGCTGGGTCAGCCCATAAAAAGACACTGCCATATGGGCCGAGCGGGAGGAAGCCCATCAAGAGTGACCAGGGCTTACTGAGGAATAGGCCCAGGTCCAGCAATTAGTAAATATCTTGCAAATATCTTGTAAATATCTATAAATAGGAGTTGGAATGAAGAGGAAGGGGATCTTGATTCGGGTTGAGGTGTAAGAATTCTAGAGAGAGAAAGAATAGAAGGAGTTTCTTGCATCTTCACCGTGACTTTGCGAGCACTGAAACTAGGGCAGCTGATGACTTGAAGCCAATTGTTGTCACCAAATGCAGATCAGAGACTTGAGAGTCACGATTTACTGTGACTAATATCTCACCTATGAAAATGTATGTGGGCTTGTGTGTCCTCTGTTTTGATTGGTTTGGGCCTTAGAATGACCCAAGTGCAATCACATGTATTATCAACGTGGCTCATCTCTCCCCAACAAATGAGCCCTCTGCTGTCCATCATCTTCAAGGCCCATCATGATGATTTCAACCTATTTTGGGCCCCTCGTTCCTCTGGTAATGGGCTGTCACTAACATTTTTTCAAATTTTTAGTGGGACTGTTGCCCCCACATGCCCTTCCATCTGCATCTTTCTTTCCTGTCTTACTTTTCTTTCTCACTGTCTGAAATAATAATAATAATAATAATTCTCCTCCATATCCGGACTATGAGCGGAAGAATTCAAGCTTGAGTGTGTGAATTGTAGTTCTTGCCGATGTAGATGTAGATGTAGATGTATATATATATATATATATAGCCTATAGGTGAGACCCGGCTTGTGAGAAAATATGATTTTCAAACGCATTATTATATCAAAACTCATAGTTATAGATAAAAATATAAAATGCAAGCGTGGACTAATTCTAATAAAAATAAATGAGAATTAGGACGGAAATCTGAATAAGTTAGAATCATCCATATTTCATTCTTTGAGAATCTTTTGTTTTGTTTTTTTCTTTTCTTTTGTCCTCTTCTTTGATATCAGCGTCCTATTATTATTATTTTTTACTACTTTGATATTGCTAATACCTTTTTTTTTCTAATTTTATAAAAGAATAATTTTATGACCTCCATACCGTCGTTTCTGTCTAGTAATAATTATGTGCATGTATGTAGATATCACATTTTGTACATAAAGTTATTATTTTTTTTGCACTAGGGTATCCAATTATTCATACGAGTGAGATAGGTGATTTTTCAAAATAGTAAAAAATATTCGGGTATCACCATAAAATAAATAGTATTTCATGCTTTAAAAAATTCGAAATAGTAAATAATTCTCTGAAAGTTCATGTATATGTAATTTTTACTAAAATTAAATGCGAATTTCTTTTATTTTTCATCGTTTAAACCTAAGAATCACCGTACCGTAATTTAAAGATTCCAATGGAAGGTTTGAACTTTGGAAAAACTTTAATTAAATAGGAATACAACGTTATCAGATAAATACTGAGTAACGTTATTTATTTGTCTATTATTATCATCTGCATAAAGTTCCATTACTATTCCAAAATGCCACATCAAAGCCAAATACATTTAAGAGATGAACAAGTTGAATCACAAAACAACAAAAAAGTTCCATTATTTCCAAATACATTTAAGAGATGAACAAGTATGGATCACAAAATAACAAAAAAGTTCCATTATTTTTCGACAATCAAGAGCAACATGAATAATAATAAGGTAGGCGGAAGGGAGTGGCACCCATAAATCACACTTTATTATTATAAGTATTAGTCGATCAATACTTACCACCACACGTCAGAATAACAATCTCCTCAGATTACTGATGTGGGACAAAATTAACTTTTTCTCTTACATTAAAAAAAATATCACCAGTTTGAAATAAATTTAGACAATATATATAGGATAATGCTTAGTTACTCACCCGTGAGTAGCTTCACTCTACTCACTCCTTATATATATTTAATAATAAAATAACACATCAACTTTAATAATAAAATTAGTAAAATAATAAAAAAAAAAAGAAAAAAATCAGATTGACCCGTTTTAATTGAGTAATCACTCTTTTTTCTTTTTTCTCTATCTCTTTTATCGATTCCCGAACTTACTCCCTTTCTTCTCTCCACTCTTCTTCTTCTTCTTCAAGTTGAAAATTGCATCTAAAACCTACTTTTATAGTTTTCTCTCTCCTATATAAGCTTTGCTTACTGTGATTTGAAAAAATGAGAAAATTTTCAAAATCAATTTAATTTTTTTATTCGTTTTTGAGAAATGGAAAATATATGATTATTAAAGACAAAGTTTTAATTCTATTAATATCTTTTTGCAAGATAGATCTACTTTCATATGAGAATTTATCAAACCAAATATTGAAATCTCACACAAGCATTGGATCATTACTTTTACAACCAACAAGATAATGGAGAATTCCTAATAGAGTTACCATTTTATTCTTTAATAAAGTGTCAGATCCTTCAATAGCGGAATCAATGGTATTAAACAATCTGATGCAGAGCTGGTGGTTAAGGTAGTTAATATTGGTAACAACACCATTAAAATTTGGACTATGTTGTTTTTTAGGTAAATTTTTAGGTAATAGAAAGGGTAAAGAAGAAGATTGGAGAGGGGAGGGCGTGGGTTTGGGAATTGATGAAAGAGATAGAGAGAAAAGAGAAAGAATGATTATCTGAGAAATGGTGATTATCCAATTAACAGGTCGATCAACTTTCTTCTTTTTTTACTATTTTGCTAATTTTGTTATTAAAGTTGATGTGTTACTTTGTTATTGGAACACATAAGGGGAGAGTAAGGTAAAACTACTCACCGGTGAGTAACTAAGCATTGGACACACACACACACACGCACACACACACACATATATATATATATATATAAGTTCATGCATAATTATTTGGTTTACAACCTCTTTACAATGAGGTTGATTCCATAATTTCCATGTTGAGGTTTAACGATAGTCTCGAAAACTGGGGAGTGGACATAATTAGGAGAGAAAAAATAAAGAAGTTGGAGAGAATGAGGGATAGAACTGTTGGGATTTGGGTGCCTTAGCATAGCAAATTCTTATTTGGATTGTAAAAGTCATGGTTCCTTATCTGAATATTATTATTAAGACATTATACAATTGGTGAATAGAATGTATTATTTTTTCGTTTCATTATGGAATTGATTGTGTCTACTTGATTAGAAAATATATTTATATATGTATGTAATGACAATTAATACTAAGTTATAAATTAGTAATCATAAATGGTTCAAAATCGATAATTATGGATGGACATTTACTTAATTAAGACTTGAACCGAGTCCATGATAGGTTGAGATATATTGTGAGAGCCATCATATGCAATTGCTCTCTATCACAGTCATGGCTTTTGACTCTCATGCATGAGAGAAGTATAAACTCTTTTATTAATTAATAATTACTTTAATTTGTTCAGCGGATAATTCGGGATCCTTACACCGACACTTTGGTTAGTTATATAATTAATAGTTAAAGGGTTATATTATCAATATTTGCATTAGTGCCACTTGTAATTATTTTTTATTGATTATGATTGATCACAAATTAAATTCGAAGGCCTTCGTATGTTTTAGACAAAATGTTTTCTATATATTTATTTAGTAAATTATTATTTTTGTCAAATAAATATTTTATTGTGATCAAGTCAGAAATAATCAAAGGTAACAAAATAATTATATCAATTATGTTGTCGGATTGATGGCTTTATAATCCGATAAATAATTATGCATAGAGGGGTCAAAGTGCAACATTGACTTAGAGGTTATTTACTATTTAATTGGAGTGCAATTAATTTCTTTTAGTGGAGTAGAAATTAATTTATGAATTAATTGAATTGGGTCA